GAAACGAGATGCCTGGGTAAATGGATGCTAAAGCTGCAGAAATGGACGCTAAACATCAACAAATATGTGAGGAAATAGATGCTAAAGATGCAGGAATAGGTGCCAAACAACAACAAATTGATGCAAAATATGAAGCAATGGAGAAGATGTATGCAGCCTTGCAAAAAATGATGGGAAATTGAAAATTAGAGGTAATATGATGTTAACCATTGGTATTTTGATGTTTTTCAATGACTTGGTAACCTTTTGTATTTGATGTTTTTGATTGTTTTGAATAATGTTTTATAGGAATGAGAACCAAAGATGATTGGATGAACATGAGATGAAGAGAGCAACTAAAATGTTATTTTGAAGTTATGTTTTGTGAAAACTCATTTCCTGATGCTTATTTTGAAGGTTAAACTTTTTTCTGTTTGTACCTCTTTTGCATACTTTGGATTTCTTGCTATTAAAATGTTCTCAAATGTTGGGAGTTTGATGTTATGTGGACAGTTTTGTTTTTGGATGTTTTTTTGAATGATAGTTTGGTAACCTTTGATAGTTTTGGTATTGTAATGGTTGGTTGTATCATTATTTGATGTTTTTTTTTGTATAATAGTTTGATGATTTTTTGTTTTAGAATCATAATAAAAAACACATGATATTACATGTTTTCGATGCACCAGTGAGGGAAAAAAATAATGTATGAATTTTGCGAGGGGTTAGCTACGGAAAAAAATTCATGTCTAAAGTTTGCGACGGATCAATCACGGAAAAAAAATTAATGTATGAATTTGCGAGGGATTAGCTACGGAAATAAATCATGTTTATAGTTTGCGACGGATCAGCAACGGAAAAAAAAAAATTAATGTATAAATTTTGCACGGGATTAGCTACGGAAAAAAAAGGAAATTTGCGACAGAAAAGCAACGGAAATTTTGTCGCCAATGTCCTGACTAAATGTATTGAGTGACCATTTAGCGATGGATATTATGTCGCCAAATTTGTCACAAGGGAAAATCGATCCGTCGCTAAAACACTCGCTCGGTTCATTAGCCACATTTTAATTATCTATGGACTGTATCTGTCGCTAATCCATCGCAAACAACATTTAGCGACGGAATAGCGACGAATTCGTCCGTCTCTAAAGCCCATGTTTCTAGTAGTGAAAGAGATGAAGATGAAGATTCCGAGCCTAAAACTTGAATGGTGTTGATGATCTTCTTGGAAATATTAGTATTCTATGGTTTTAACAATAATAATGTGTGTAAAATGATGTGAAACTAACATAAAATTGCATAAAAACACGAGAGGTTCATGAAATTTCTTACCAAAAACCGTAGAGGACCATTGGAGAAGGTGATTCTTAGGAGAAATCGGACTTGTTCTAGAGAGAAGGAAGGAGTTGAAGTAACAAGAAGGTGGTAAGAGTGGGAAGAACCCACTCTTGGCCGAGATTTATATAGGAGGGAGGAGATTCCTTCCTAGTTATTCGTTGGTTAATTATATGCCTCACATGGAGACCTGGGGGGTACTTGTATGTTCAACATGGAAGTATGGTGGTTACTTGCATGTTTTTCATAGAGGTATGAAGGGTAAAAGAATGTAAAGTTGTTTGTTGTTAATTGTGTGCTTTGCATGGGGATATGTTGGGTAAAGGAGTGTAAAGGTAAGATGTCAAGTCATTTGGTCAAACCGCGGTCTCCCCACCCATCCGTGATTCTTAAACCGAGGAGAGGTTCTCGGGTTTTGAAGCCACCAAGATCAGGAGGGACTTCGGTCCTAGGGTGGCCGAGAACAGGGAGTTTTCGGTCCAGCCTTGCTGCCTCGCATGGGTTTTCGTTCCGAGGGAGGGGGTTCTCGGTTGCGAGTCTTCTCAACCCACGCTTGAGTGTTTCAACTACAAATTGGGATTTTTAACTCCTTGATGCAAATTTAAAACATCCTCCATGCAAATTGAAATTTCTAGAAATTTTTGATTTATCACATTAAATTTTCAAATGTTTATTACAACAAGATTGTGATGTGGTTTTATACCATCTATAGAGGTACCTTGCTTGATCAAAATTTCCTGGTTGTCACATAAAGAATGCTAGATTGTCTTTCTGACTCTTACATGTATGTTGGGCGAGACCCGTTATGTATGTTGTGGAGTGTTATGTATGTTGGGCGGGGCCCGTTATGTATGTTGGATGGGGCCCGTTATGTATTATGGGCCAGACCCATATTGGTATATGGTTTTTTGAGGAACTTACTAAGCTTTGAGCTTACTGTTTAAAGTTATATTGTTTCATGTACTTCTAGTAACAAGGGGGAAGACCCAACTTGATTACACTGCATCCATCAATTGTTTCTGCACCGTATGATTTTAGGATTGGTATGATGTTTTTATAAAATCTATGAACTCATGGTTGGAATATTTGACTTACGATGTTTATGGAATGGTTTTTAGTATTTTAAAAATGAAGATTTTTCTTAGTTTTTTTTGGGTGTGTTACAATTGCCAAGAAGCAGGCAGGAATGATGTGAAACAAGTATTTAGTGTCATTAAGTGGTGTTGGCACATACTCAAACTCGCAGCACTATCATTCATATGATTCCTAAGGTTGCAAAACATAATGTATATGTGCATCATATTATATATAATTTTAGAAGAATGAACGAAAAGTGATATGCTACTAGAATGAAAACTAAATTTTTTCAGCCTTTGAAGGAGTAGTTGTTGGTATGCCACAATATAGAGCAAACGGAAGGGAAGTACGTGATCGTGATATCCATCATGCCCTTTCGTGTTTGATTTGTGCAACATACTTACATGGCTAACATATAGATTTTGATCGAGTATAAGCACGATGATCTGTTTGATGATACATATGAAGATTCATATTTGTTCGTCGAGGATTCAGACGAAATTTCGGAAGAAAATTCGGTGTGATGTAATATATTAATTACTGTTATATTTTAGTGTTGATTCTTTATATTTATTTTGTAATAATTATTTTCAAGTAATAAAATATTTCTATTTTTATTAACTTTGTGTTTAATTATATTTTTTATTAGTTTTTTTACTAGTTAAATTATAGCTACGATGTTACCCGCAGCGCGTTGCGACCACAATAAAGAATTTAAGTAGTAGAAAGTAAGTTACTACATGTCGAAAATCGACAAAAATGTAGTTTCTGTTTTTAAGCGGCGAGGCGTAGACAAACTCGAATTAATATAGACACTTACATATTTTTTTTTTTAAATTAACGAAAAAAAGTTCAAATTTGTCGTCAAAACGTTGATGACGTCGAATATATGACATATACATAAAAATAAGCACGTAGAAATTTAGTTTTTTTAAGTTAACAAACGAAACATATTAGAAAAAATCAAATTCTGTTATACAACAAAAAATAAGAACCAAAGTTTAGAAAATGGGGGGAGAGGGTGAAAGTGATAATGTACAAACTCGAAGTTGAAGGAGTCAAAATGACATTAAAAAAGAATATATGTGAAAAATGTAATTATCAAGGTTCTAAATAATGTTGGCATGATTTGGCAGCAATGTCAAGTCTTAGGTTTTTTCGAGTCGTGACGAGCCACGTCGTATGAAAGACATAACTTAAAGCAATAATTTTATAGATAATTAATAATTTAATATATATTTTCTACTATTTTATATATATATATATATATCTATATATATATCTATATATATCTATATATATATAATATATAATCTATATAATATATAGAGAGAGGAGAGAGCTAGGTTCCAATGTGGATTGACATCTATTGCGCGGACGTATGAACAATGCTATTCTGTGAAAATGACAAAGAAAATATGTTGTTTGATAATATGAATACGTCCAATCTTACATAATTATTGTCATTATCACACATTCTCACAAATTAAATCGTGTATAAGGTTATTATAGAATTATTATTATTATTCTCATTCTGTAAGAATGTTTATTGAGTCGTATTCTGTCAGAATGAAAATGAGTGAAAAACGATGTATGAGAACAAAAATAAATAAGAATTAGTGAGAATGAATGAAAATGAAGATATTTTTGTAAGGTTGAACGTATTCGAATGACTAAACAACATATTCTCTTAGTAATTCTCATATAATAGCGTTGTTCACACGTCTGCATAATAATTGTCCATCCACATTATAACCTAGCCCTATATATATATATATATCTATATATATAATTATATATATATATATATATATATCTATATCTATATATATATATAATTTAAGACCACATTTTATTAAAGTTTGACAACAAATACAAGCCTTGAAGTCATGGAGTGCTATGACGATTTTTTTTAGAACCATGGTAATTATACGAAATAGAGGGGTGTAGATTATCTAGTTAAAAATAAAAATGATTAAAATGACATTTTAAAAAGTGAAGAAATAAAAGAAAAAAAATCATTTTTCAAAGTAGAATTCCATGTTAAAATCCGGAAAGTCAAAATGATATTTTAAAAAATAAAAAATAAAAACAATTATTTTTCAAAATAAAAAGATACAAACTATCGCTGAAAACGTCTATCAACTTAAAACAAAATAAAATAATTTGATAGGAAATGAAGTTCCTAAGTTGTGAAAAACAAAAGGAAAATTAGGCGACACAAAAGGAAAAAGAAATTGTAAAATATGACCAAACTGGTCTTATATATTTTTTGTATTAAAGAGCACGATTTTTTTCTACATGAGATTAACATTAGGAAACAGCCAGAACCGTATAGGCGATAAGCAAGTGGGTAGGCGGGTTGCTCAATCTTAATGGCAAACATGAAACACTAGTATGTGGTCAATGTGGTCAATCCACTAGTTCACCACGTGTCCTACGTAACATCAAGCATATACTACCGTTGACACGTATCATGCCACCTGCCAACTATCATCCTTGTATATATATCGGCGACGTTCACCTTCTCATTAAATATATTCTCCGCTTTACTCTATTACTATATTTGGATTTGGATTTGGATTTGTCAAGCTTTTTGATTGATCTAAAATGGCGGAAACAGTGGGACGAAGCATTGCTGCACCATTGCTGTTCCTGAACCTTGTTATGTACTTTATCACCTTGGGATTTGCTAGTTGGTGTCTTAACAGGTTCATCAATGGCCAGTCCTACCATCCTAGTAAGTTATCTATCTGCCCGCAGCTACCTGATGCGTACTGTTGCAATATCTGACCTTTTCTATTGCAGGTTTTGGAGGAAATGGAGCAACAGAGTTCTTCTTGGAGTTTGCCATTCTAGCTTCTGTTCTTGGAATAGTCTCAAAATTCGCAGGTGGCAACCACCTTAGGGTATGGAGGAACGACAGCCTTGCCGCCGCTGGATCATCTTCTCTGGTTGCGTGGGCCGTCACTGCTCTTGCTTTCGGGTAATATTTTTGGTTTCACATGCAAGTAAGTTAATGGTAACAGGTGATTATTGAATTAGGTAATTGAGAGTTGAATTACAGGTTGGCATGCAAGGAGATAAACGTAGGAGGACACAGAGGGTGGAGGTTAAAGATGGTGGAAGCATTCATTATAATCTTGGCATTCACGGAGCTGTTGTATGTAATGTTGCTGCATGCCGGTTTGTACAGCAGCAGGTATGGACCAGGCTACCGTGACGGCGACTATGGAGTTGGAGGGCATCATGCGGAAGAAGGTGTCATCAAAGGGACCAGAGTTTGATCGTCGTTGAATATGCTATATGTATGCATTAAGGTATAGATATATGGTAGTATAAATATAAAGGAAGGTAGATTTAATTAATATCAAGATGTTAATTAGGTTAAATGGTGTATGTAGTAGAGACTGGGATTAATTAACCAAATCTTAATCAGGTCTTGCTGTGTTTTAATAGTCTAGTAGTCACTGTACTCATGGGTTTCAGAACATCGGTTTCACAAAGATCGGCTTGTTAACGGTATCATTTTGTTTGGTTTTAGAATACTTGATTGAATAATATAGTAATATAATTATAATTATAAGTACTTAATATAAGAGTAACCCTCTTTTACTTGTAGAGCCTACTTAATGACGTGTGTTTTCAAATAAATCGTTAATATCTTTTGTTTGTTTGAGTTTTCTTTCTGCCGTTTTCTTTTTATTAAATCTTTTGTTTTTTTTGAGCTTTCTTTCTTCCCTTTTCCTTTCATTAAAGGATATCTATTGGAATTTAAACAAAAAAAAAAAATTGAAGAGTGAAATACAGTCTTGGTCCGTGTGGTCCTTATTTTGGGAAAAGTAACACCTTTGGTCTTTAGGAGGGTAAAAGTAACACCACGGGTATTTAGGGTTTTGGTAACATTGGTGATAACACCAACAGACCATTACCATCAGCCCCAACACCACCGTCAACATCGCCACTATCGGTGATATCACCAATCACCATCATCTTCAATCACCATCATGAATCAATCACCACCACACAACACACATGTTGCATCATGCCTATATATATATATATATATATATATATATATATATATATATATATATATATATATATATATAAAAGACGAAAACACATTTGCACCAATCACCCACAACCATTATCCATCAGCCCCAACACCGCTAGTCATATATAAGACGAAAACACATTTGCACCACTGTAACAACCGGAATTTCGGGTATGATAGTTCGTGTTTCGATTTTGAGGATTTAGGAGGGACTCGACGAGTCGTAAGTCTGACTCACCGAGTCACGTCGTGTTGATCACGTGGATTTAATGAGCGGACTCGACGAGTCTAAGTATGGACTCGCCGAGTAGGTACTGGGCAGAGAAAACCCTAAGTTCCGGGGTTGGAGCCTATTTAAAGGAACTTATGACCTTGGATGCGCCTCATATCTCCTGTGAGAACCCTAAATCGCCATTGGAGCCAAGGGAGAGTTATTGTGATGAAATCAAGTAATTTTGGTGTGATTTTGCAAAGGAAGTGAAGGGATTCAGCTAGAAGGACCAAAGGAGGTTGTTATTATGAGACATCCAAGAAAGGATCTCCATTCTGAGGTAGTATTTCGCCCATTCCTTTTGTTTTGTGTAGAATCCTTGAATCTAGGGTTTTCTTTACCCTTTCTTGGATAGTATATGATGCATATGAGGTCCCAATGTGGAAAAAGTCTTAGATCTGGACCTTAAGAGGTGGAGTCCCAACCATTCTGATTTATGCTGTTCCTTTGGAGATATGAGCCTAGGTTGCCATTTTAGAAGCTATTTCACCAAAAGAAGCCTTATGTGTGTTGCATGAGTGCAAAGATTGGACCTTTACGTGATTATTGAGCATTGGGAAGTCAGATCTATAGGTTAGAGAAACATATCTAACCTCAGAAGGTCATATGAGTATTGCCATGGAAGGAGCTCGTCGAGTCGAGTCGGGTTGCCCCGCGATTCGTGTCCAGTGGTAACCCGTCCAGTGAAAGGTCAACTCGACGAGTTGAGTGAGGCTTTATAAAGATTCAGAGGACACGCATGGACTCGTCGAGTCACGCGAGTGCACTCGATGAGTCTGGTCAAAAGTTTGACCATTGACTACGGTTGATTTCAGTTGACCTTAGGGTTTTGGTCATGCTGAATCAAGAGAGGTCAGGAAGGGTAGAATGGTCTTCTACCCATTCATTAGAGATGAGGACAAGAGGAAGTATTAATTAGAAATGTTTGCCTTATGTGTTAGGCGGAGGCTCGATATTATCAAGCCAGAAGGTTTACTAGACATCATGTGAGGTGAGTCTTCTCACTATACTTTACCTAGAGTGGTAATTATGTGTGACCGGACGGTCTTATGTGCTATGATGAGTATGTGATGTATGCTGTTATATGATATGTATGTGCTATGTGATGAATCAAAGAATCGAGTATAAAATGAATTAGAGTATAAAATCAAGTAAGAATGCGAAATTGAACACCGGATGTAAATATGATCTTGTTTCAGCTCTATTACGCTTTCGAATGTTTACAGAGTACAAAGACAGGTCTGTAAAAACTCTTATCTAACTCTAGTACCTATTTATAGGGGACAGAAAGCGTACAAAAAATATACTAAGGCATAGACACTTAAGCTTCGAATAAAAGCTCCTTAGTAAAATAGATTACAAAACATTCGAAGAGTGCAAAATACATTTCGACTAATTACAACATTTTGACCCTTACAATCTCCCCCTTTGTAATCATAGTCGAACTTCTTAATTTGTAAGAAGCTGGATGGAATACAGCATCACTCTTCGAATTTCCGTGTACCAGGAAATAATCTTCTTTAGCTCTTTCTTATCTCCTTCATTGTTCTTCTTACAATGATTCATACGAACAATTAAGTTCGTATATTGAGACGTTGAATATCTTTCCACTTCGCATGCCTGGAATAAGAAACGTTTTGCTTTTCCAGCCTTGTCTTTTCCTGCGAAGACCATCCCAAAAGGCTTCAAGCAGATTTCACCATCAGCATACTTTTTCAATTCTGCTTGAGTCTTCGTAGGAGCCATTGGAGCTTTTATTTCCATACCTTTAGCTGTAGCTAACTCCACATCTGTTAGAGCCAAGCACTCATAATAATTTTCGATGAAAATCTTGATGTGAGCAACCCCAAGCTTAAATTCATCAGGTTTAGTGTTTTGAAGATATGAAAACGATTTGTCTTTCAGAATCAATGCAACTTGTATAAGATCATACAAGTTCATTAATGGAAAATCTGCAATTGTAAATTCGCAAATATTTCCATTTGCCCTGGCAACCACATACTTGATATTTTGGACTGTGTTTTCGAACACCACATCCTTTTTCATACTGATTACTTTCTTGATCTTTATCAATGACCAAACTTCCTCAGGGGCTTTTGCAAGAACAACATGAAATCTAATTTTCATGTGTGTACCATCATCCTTTTCTTTGAAATTTCCTTCTGCTTTAAATTGAGGCATGATGAACATCATTTCATTTATTGGAAAGTCCAGCTGACTTGAATCAGTATTCGTAACCATATAACTTTGTTTTGGGTTCTTCTCAAACGAATACATATGATTAAAAGCTACCTTGGCCTCAATTGTTTCATAATTGTAGTGTTTGGACGGATCACCTTTGTCCATACCCTTCGGATCACTTGCACGCTGAGTCATTATGCTTTGAATCAACCTTAGCTTTTCAATTTCAGCTTCTGCTTCGGCTTTCCTTTCTTCTTTCGATTTTTCCACCACTATTGTTTTCCCTTTATCTTTCAAGACTGAATCATCTTTCACCTCCTTTTTTTCGAACTACTCCCAACAGTATCAGTAGGTTTACCAATCACAATTCCTTTCGAAATTGGTCTTGTAATTGGCATAGTTGTTACGACTGTTGAAGTAACCGGCCCAGCAGATGCTATAACTGGCTTTGTTGTTGGGATCTTTGAAGAAAACAACTTTCCTACAACCTTCGCATCATCACCACTAGCCTTCGAATCACCAGTTTTTCTTTCTCCCCTTGCACCCCTGTGAAAACAGGTGGGGCATTTGTTGTTGGAAGAAGGCTTGATATGCGAGAGAGAGGAGCAAGTTGCTTGTTGAGAATTGCTTCGAATTGTAGGAACTTTTGAGATAAAAATTCAGGAGTAATCAGGGAAGAAGAAACCGGCTGGACAGATAGTTCTTTTAATTCCTTTAGCAAAGTAATCACTTCCAAAAAGTTGGTACGTTCTATTGTTGAAAGTTGAGGACTCAAACTTTCATACAATTTGACAAATTTTGTGACAGCGTCACAAATAATATCAATCTTCTGATTCAGAGATGCATTGTCTTGTTGAACATTTGCAATCTCTTTTTGCATATCTTCGCGAAGTTCACGAATCTGCAAATTGACATCCTCCCTGACTTTCTTTACGTCTTGAACAAAGAGAACATGCCTTTCCTTTGTTACATTCTTTAATTCTTTCATATCTCCGGCAAACTTCGAAGTTTGAGAATTGATTCGTAGTTCATTGTTTTGATCACTATGATCAACCTTCTCCAAAATTCGTGATTCGGAGTCTTTAATCATCCCAGATACTTTACTTACGACTCTGGCTTCGAACATTTTCAACAAAGTATCAACCTCTAAACTTGAAACAGACGAACCACCCCCCAGATCAGCTTGAGATTGAATTATAGAATTCAACTTCTGATTCAAAATTTTAAATTGCTTCATTGTCATCAGCATATGATCTGGAAAATCCTCTTCTTCTTCATGAAACTCTAATTCCTCAAACGTACCTCCAAAACCCTCATTATCAGTTTCTGTCTCCATAAAAACGGTTTCTTGAACGGTTGAATTAGGTTTGGGTGTATCAGTGGATTGAGAAGAAAAAATAGAAGTAAAGGGTTGATTGATAATGTTTTCGAATGTAGGGGAATCAGTGGTTGAAGTAATTGGAATAATTGGTGGAGGTAAAGAAACAATATGTTCGAAGGCTATAGAAGTTGGATGACCTTGATCTTCTTTCTTCGAATCTCCTTCACCCATATTGACATTTGCATCCGTATCAGATACGTTTGCAGGGATGCCTGAAGTTCGTACCTCCTCAGAAACTGATTTGGCAACCGAATCTTCGGGTGGTATGACTATTGTCTGCTCAGGAGTTGAACTTTCTGCGTGAAGAGTTACTTCTGGTGTTTCAGGAATTCTTTCATCGTCATCTTCTGTAGACTCAGTAGAAAGCATAAGCTTTCGTGTCTTCTTCTTCTTCTTC